AGAGTGAACATATCACAGCTGTCGATCATGTGATCACATGATCAGGAACCACACTGGTTTCCCATTATTAGTGGGGGCCGGACCTGCCAGTGAAATGTGGAGCATAAGTTTATAGGTTGCTGACAGCTTGTGGTTACAGCTGGACTCTTGGCAAACAGCCAGAGGACTTGTATTTCTGTCCATCCAGTCCTGAAATTTATACAGCTCCATCACACAGCACAGCCCTGTCTGGCAGGGAAGGTGACCTCCTTTGTCTCTGCTGCAGTTAGGTAACACAGATCTTGTCCCTCCTCCAGCCTGTGAATGGGCAGTGAAAGGAGAAGCAGCAGTTTGATGAACTCATCTCTCACTCCCTCTCCTCCTATCAGCATGCATTTTGAACTGCAGCACAAGTGATTGGCTTCTTGTGCTACACTTCTCCCATTCTCAATGCAAACCTTACTGAACAAGGGAATGGGCTAATAACAAGTAGGGTTGCCACCTTTTTTTCAAACGAAACCCGAACACTCTAGCGGCGCATGGACATTTTTTTGGGAGCATGAGTCGTGTCTTATTCATATGTAAATAATGTCACCCATTCCTATGTAACTATCACAGTAGAGACTATTTTCAGTGGGGGACCAGTAGCCCCTATCTGAATTTTGGTTGCCCCTGTCTGCCTGACATCTTGTGTCTGGGTTTCTGCTGCCATAAAAACAAGGACACAGCCTTCAAAACCCGAACTGTCCGGGTCAATCCTGGACAGGTGGCAACCCTGATACCAAGTTAAATTCAGGTAGCTAGACTCATTAAACTAAAAAAATATTTATTAATATACAATATACACAGCTGCATTAATGTGTTTCTGTTGATATCTGTCCAGAGTTCTAGTATAAGTTATTATGACATAGGTTTTTAATATTAGACAAACTATAGGCCTCCAGCTGTGACAAACTACAAGTCCCAACCTTTTCAGCCAGGGGCATAGCTAAGCATTTTAAGGTCTACAATGGAAACTGTTACAACTTTTACAACAACTTTATTAATAGCACATAATGTATGTACAAATGCCGTAGGCACTATAACAAATTTGTAAGTGAGCACAGTAGATGCTGCTATCTTTGCTATCCCTATTGCTGAACTCCTGTCTCCAGAAGCTAAGAAAGCATGCTGGAAAATTTAACCCATGGACAGAGCTCCATGGGGTGCCCATGGCTGGTGATATAATAGCAACATTGCTCCTTGAAGACAAGTTGCTATTCTTTTAGATATTTTGCAGGGTGCACAGTACAATTATACAGCAGTAGTGTTCCTAGAAAGCCATTCCTTTTGTAGCTCAGTGTCTAAATAAGAACACATCTTACTAATCTTTTCAGTGGTGGTGACCACAGGATCATGCATGTTCTTGTGCTAAGTACATCTTGTTCCCATACTCTCTATGCACTTAGTAAAGATGCTAAAAGGCTTATTTAAAGTGGAAGAAAGTAGACTTGCCAAGTTAGCCATTTGCAGTCTGACAGAGAAATGAATATGGTTCAGAGATAAGTTAGGTGGCTGTACAGTAATGAAACAGACATCCGTCACATGGTATGTCATGTTATCTCTGTGTACTGCCTTAGTGACATCACAAGGCACTATTGATCTGTTATTCTACAATATGGCTGCCTCAATATTACATACACATATGCAAAGTTACATTTAAAAATTTGCTTGCATATGGGGATGCTTTTTTTTAACTCAAACTAGAGGAAATGAAAAAGATAGTTGATATATTGTCCTTATCAGCCACTGAAATACCAAGCATCACCTTCTAACCCTCACTAGGAAACTGGTAGCTCACTAATGGTTGGTTCGTATTGTACTTGTGGCTGTCACAGAACTTTGCAATTTTATTTTTTATCGTCTTTCAATGTGACTCCATCTTTTGGGTAAACATATACAGTTGTGTGAGAAAGAAAGCACATCCTATTTGAACTCTATGGCTTTAAGTAGGGATGCAGTGCTACCGTTTTTTCGGTATTGAGTAGCGATACTTTGCTTTCAGTACTTGCTGTGACAGAGTACCGATACCGGTGCTTCCACTGGCATGGAGCAGGCTTCCAGGGCAATCAGGAAGTCGGGCAGTGGTAATGACATACTGCCTGGCTTCCCAATTGCCCGGGAAGCTGGCTCCATTTGGTTAGGTCGGCTTGATTTTGATTGGCCGGTAAACCGGCTTCCTGGCCAATCAGGAAGCCGGGAGGCGGCTCCATGTTCCCTTACGGCACTGCCGGTCAGAGGAAATCTTCCTCTGACTGGAAGTTCCGGTATCGGGGAAGGTATCGGAGCATTTGGGCAAGTATGAGTACTAGTATCGGTATCGGTGCATCCATAGTTTTAAGTATCTAGACGCAAAAAAAATCATCTGGTCCTTAGCAGGTCTTAAAATTAGCTGAATACAACCGTAGATAAACAACCTCAGATGAACTCGCATTGCATATTACACTGTGTCATTATTTTTTTTACAAACATAAAGCCAAAATGTAGAAACAATGTGTTAAAAACTAAGTACACCCTTACTGCTTCCATATGAATTAGGAAGCTAAGTAGCAGGCAGGTGCTGCTAATCAAATGCCCTTGATTAACTAATCATCAGCAAGTGTGACCATGTCTATAAAAGCCAAAGTTTTAGCGGTTTGATGGTCTGGGGAAGTCTGGTGTGTGTTAACACAATGCCAAGGAGGCAAGACATCAGCAATGATCTAAAGGTGCCCATACACCTTACAGTTATCTGCAGATTTTCTGTGGTCAGATGGAGAAAGTGCAACAGATTGGCCCAGGTGGAGATTACTCCATCCACACAGTTAATGTGTAGATGGAGCAATCTGGTGCACCTTTTCCATCTGACCACAGAAAATCTGCAGATAATTGTAATGTGTATGGCCAGCTTTAGAGAAGTAGTTGTTGCTGCCCATCACACAGGGTTATAAATCAATTTCCAAACAATTTAAAGTCCATCATCAGTGAGGAAGATTATTGATAAGTGGAAAACATTCAAGACAGTCGCCAATCTTCCCAGTAGCTGACGTCCCAGAAAATTCAACCCATGGTGACCGTGCAATCCTCACAGAAATAGCAAAAAGCCCATAAGTTACAACTCAGACTCCACAGACCTCAGTTAGCATGTTAAATGTTAAAGTTCATGACAGTATCATAAGAGAAAGACTGAATAAGTCTGTTTTTTTAAAGGGTTGCCAGGAGAAAGCTTCTTCTAAAAACCACACGGCAGCATGGCTTAGGTTTGCAAAGTTGCTACTGAACAAACCACAAAGCTTCTGGAACAATGTGCTTTGAACAGAGGAGACAATAATGGAGATGTTTGGCCATAATGCACAGCGCCATGATGGGCAAAAACCAAACACAGCATATCAGCACAAACACCTCAACTGTCAGTTGTAGAGGGGTGATGATTTGGGCTTGTTTTGCAGCCACTGGTCCTGGACACCTTGCAGTCATTGAGATGACCATGAGCTCCTCTGTTTACTAAAGTATTCTAGAGTCAAATGTGAGGCCATCTGTCCGAGAGCTAAAGCTTGGCCGAAAATTGGGTCACGCAACAGGACAATGATCCTAAGCACACCAGCAAATCTACAACAGTATAGCTAAAAAAGAAAATAATCAAGTAATGCAATGGCCCAGTCAAAGTCCAGACCTCAACCCAATGGAAATGCTGTGGTGGGATCTTAAGAGACCTGTGCATAAACAAATGCCCGCAAACCTCAATGAACTTAAAAAAGATTGTATAGAAGAGTGGCTAAAATTCCTCCATAATGATGTGAGAGACTGATAAATATATACAGACAATGATGACTTCAAGTTATTGCTGCTAAATGTGGTTCTATAAGCTATTGAATCATAAGGTGTACTTAGTTTTTCACACATGGCTTCTCCATTTTGGCTTTATGTTTGTATTTTAAAAAATAATGACACGGTGTAATAAGTCATGTGTTGTTGCTGATTTTTATTTTGTCCTGATACTTAAAACCATAGAATTTAAAGAAGGTGTACTTTCTTTTTCACTTGACTGTATGTAGAATTACAAGGTGAATAGATAACATTTTTTGAGGTGCTAAAGGTCAACATTTCCTGCCATCTAAGTAGCAAATCAGCATGCAGGAAAACAAAATTCCATGAAGTCCATGAAGAGCAGCAGTCATCAGTTGGGGAAACCAATGTGTGGGTGGCTTGCTACAACTATGGAGAAGCTCTGCACTGATCCGATTGTCATTTCACAACCTTTCATGTTGAAATAAAAAGTTAACAGCCAATTAAAAGATGTTTGTTATATCTCAAGAACACAAACACATAGGAATCTGATATAAAATGTTTTGACATTTTAAGGTAATTATGAGAAGGCTGGGAGAGGTGGGACTGAGTTTACCTGAAATCTACTGTGTATGGCACATACCGTGGTGCTTTGCATACAGCTTGCCGCATCACTGCTCTATGAACAAACCCAGGTTTGGCCATAAGCTTAGAACAAACGGATGGGGCCTGCTTCAGGCTGGCAGCCAGCCCCAGCCTGCTTGTCCTCAGCTTGTGGCTACAGTCAGGTCTGTTCATAGGTGCTGCACTGCAGGGAGGCTGTAAAGTGGGAATAGTTAGACTTGGGCCTTCCACGTGCGGTGACACTACAAATCTCATTAGGCATTGCAAGACTCTGACCGCCGCAGGCATGACCTCCAGAGGCAGGTGCATGATGGCATTTGTATGAATTTCTAATTGGCTCCTTCGATCGACTGATTGAGGAATGCCGGGTGGAAGTGAGCCGACAGCGGCACCGACTGTGCGAATTTCGGCCGGTTTATCAGGAACCGGCCGAAATTCGCTACGTGTATACCTGGCTTAAACATACCATTGCAGGGCTAAAAATATACTGAGAAAATACTTGAAGGGCAGGCCACATCTGCTCCTTTCCTCCACTACTGGTATGTTCTGTTTTCAGAATGTACATTTTAATACCTTTTTTCTTTCTTGTCCAGGCATCGTTTCAGGATGAATGCAAGTTTAAGGAAATCCTGCTATCAAACAATTACAATGCCTACGAGTCTCATCTATACAAAGGCGCTTACCTTGGATTAAGCAAGAATGGGAAAATTAAAAGAGGAACGAAAATTTCACCAGCAATGACCGTCACACATTTTCTTCCACGAATATGAACTTCGTACAACTGAAATGTCTTTTAATTTTGCACATGTGAATAATCTCCCAGGTAAAATATTTATACCGTTACAGAATATATGTATATTTGGAAAGAGCTATTTCTATAGAATCATTGTGACCCCTGCCCATCCAAAATCTGCTTACTGCCATTTAATGAAATGTTAAAAGACAAAAAAAAGTGACAAAATGTGCTATTTTTTATTTAGTACAGTAAACCTTATTTATCCCTGACGGTTGAATTTCGAGAGCGCTGTTTTCCAAAGGACTTCTACTTTTTTTGTTCCTTATTTTCCTGTAGGAAAAATAAACTTAAAGTCCTTGACCCATTCAGAAGTATGTATATACTTCTCATACCTCGAAACTCAGCTTTCGATATTAGGAAGTGCATGTATATTATTATTTAATAAGATTTTTTTAGAAGGAAATTATGTAACTACATTTATATGTTTATGATAATAATGTTTGATGAAAAAAAGTTTCTAATGTAAGTTATTTCAATGATGATTTTTATGTTAAATAAGTTCCTATTTGGATAAAAACAGAACTGCTTTCTGGGTTCTTACTGGTACTGTGCACTACAAAAATGTAAATAATATGGCATATATTTTAACTGTAGCTGATCAGTTGTAAAGTTTGTCAACATTTCCACAATTTGCAAGTATTTATATCTCTATCATTTGGTAGTCTATGCCTTCTATTGTCGCTTTTGTAAAACATATAATCCTTATCCGTTGATTATTTGGTGGACTAAAGTTCATCTACATAGTATAGCTGCAGCAGCCATGATCTTGGTATAGCCACTTCAGGACCACCCTGTTTATATATGTATTTTGGTCCTGAAGTGGTTGAATGCCATATCCAGTTAATATTTTTTTTCCCCAGTTTTGGGTAGTATAAGGAAGGTTTCAGCTCTCTGTTGGATTGTTTTTGCTCGCTTTGTCCCTATTGGAGAGATTATCTCGTATTTTTTCCCTATTTGACGGCGGTTAAACAGAAAAGGAAATATCCTTAGTGAGGGACACAAACAGCTTATAGAACCTGACACAGGTTCTAACCTAATCTTCTTCTTACCTAAAACTGACACAAATGTGGCTGGAGTTTGGCTTAATATGGCTTAATGTCCATATGGGCTGCAATCTGATACTCACCAGCAGATGGTGCTCTTGGTGAAATGTGAGATGCTCGCTCCTTGCTTCTCCTAATGGTAAGCAATGGACCCTTAATGAATGAGTGCACTTATTCGTTTTGCCCCCTTCCGCTGGCCTAACTTAATCCACCCTTCCCCTACGCAGATGCATGCTTACCTCAATCTGACGCTCTTTGTTAACATCCAATACTCCATGTCTTCACTTTCCAATCCTATAGACTTCTATGGAACCATCTCTGATGGTCTCTGGCCTTGGGACACAGCCCTATAGAAGTCTATGGTGCACTAAACTACAGATGCAGCCAGGACAGTGAAGACTTGCACCAATGGATGTTAAAAAATAGTGAAATGGCATCCATCAGATCAATATAAGTATGCATCTGTGGAGGGGGAGGGGGAGTTAGGTTAGATCAGAAGAAGAGGGCAAAAAAAGCTAAATGCGCTACTACAGTGTCTACTATAACATATGCAAAAAGGCCTATAGAGTAGTGGCTTCTTAATTTGATATTCAGCACCCCCACAAACCCCTTTTGTTTGCCGCTACCTAAGGGCCTTCTTTGACTTAGATATCTATTTTAACTAAATGGAGGTCAAATGGGTGCTGGGACCCCCACTGTCATGTGTACTTGGACATTACTTAATTCTATCTAGCTGTCATTCGATGCAGAGTCTTTTTAGTTGGCCAGCAGTTAAAAGGAGTTCCTAAAAATTGGTCTTGCATAGGGACTCCTTAGTGATTCTATCCCAGAATGCCCAGTAGGCATTGATTGAAACCACACTATAGGGGTGTGCAGTTGGGCAGTATTATATGCTAGAATGCTACGTTCAAGCAAAGCTGAGGCCCATCGCCAATGTCATTGAGATGGAGATGCAGACTACCAAAGGAGCAGGTGGGTGACCTTTCTTACAGCTTATATAGAGCTACTATCTGAGACTGGTCACATTAGGAAGAAGCAGGGTTGGGTTGCAGAGTTGCATAATGTAGGATAATTTACTTTGCAAAGGCCATGACACTGCAATAACACACACACACACACACTAATCCAGATGGAAGTGTAGGTTTTTATCAGTGGCTGGAGTTCACATTTAAATGCAAGTTTCAAATAACAGGGGTCTCTAAAATTTGGAATTAAACTCCACTATGAGAGGCTCATCCCTGCTCCCCAACAGTTTTAGACATGCCTACAAAGTTAAGGAGTGACTCATTAAGCAGTTTTTCCACCCAACTCTAGATTTCTCTTTTTTCCAGAAGTTTTGGGAAAACAGCTGGAAGTCACCCCTGAACAGTTGTTTCCATGACAATCTTGACAGAACCCTTATTCTTCTTGGAGGCTGTCCCAAGTCAGAGTTAGCAAGACACAAAGTTGTATAGAACAGGGAACTAACAAGCGCAGCAGGAAATTGCTGTTGAGAGTTGAATGACTTGAGTTTCAAGAAGCAACTGAGCTGGACTCAAGAGAAAGATTCAGTTGGACTGAGGAAAACTTTCAGGGTTTTGTGGGTAAGGGGAACTGTATGCAGTCTTTTAAGCTAATTCATTTTGTACATAGTGTTGTAGGGCTACTGAGATTTTAAAATGATTTGAAGTAAACAGCAATATTATATTTGTCAATAGTTATCAATTAATTATTCAACAATTAATCAACAAGCATTTCCATATTCTGATTTGGTTTCAGTTCCCATCATCATCCAGAATGGTAGTTATTCTATACCTCTATAGTATGCCTGTTTTTACTGCTGGATATATTGGAATTTGTTGCTTCAAAATGTATAGAATTTGTAAAAATGTGATGACATCTACAGAAAATTGGGGCATGGTTTATTTTAAGTGTACGTATTGCTAAGATTTTTGGGTTTTGAATAGAGTAGGGAATGGTTTAAACTCACATTTTTTTGTGTGTCCTATTGGTGAGATTTTTTTCGCTTCCGGTCACAACAGAAAGTAAGTGAAAAAACACTTCAAAGTGCGGGGAAATCCCTTTTGAAAGTAGGGTATACACGGTTAGAATTTCGAATGAACAAAATCGATTTTGGAACGTTCGTTCGACTTTCTAATTGCTGATGGGGTCACATCAATGATCGATAGTGACCGCAGTGATGAAAAAAGGAGCATTTTGGAAAATGTATCGCAATTCTGAATGTGGTTTTCTTTCTGGAAACTCCAAACGAAAATTAAACAACATTTCAAATGATAAATGCCAAGTCTCTGATGGCATTATTGAACGTTGCAATGGGAATGTTCGTTCAAAAATGTACCCATGTATACCCTACTTTAGAAACAGATGTTTCCATTGAAAGACTTTCCCATCAGTTCCTGTGACAACAGTAACATTTTGGATTCCACCTCACTTTCTATCTCAGTGATATAGGCCCCCAAGACAAACAGAGAATCCCCCAGTGTGGACAGCAATAAAAACCTGCCAGAAGTTGTAAATGTTCCCTACTCAGTCAATGTGAATGTAATGCTTGGTGGACAAAAAGCAGGGGCTTGAGTTTTTCTTGCTTATGCCTGTCAAGCAGTAGGAGGTATGTAAACTGTTCTGTTTATAACTAAAAGCTGGTATTGCTCATCTGCATGTTTTTGTGAGATGAATGGTGTTCATTGAGAGGTTCATCAAAAGGTTTTCCATTTTCAGCAAAATATTGGGAAAACCCTTAATGTGTTGGCCAAGGGAGACCAGAATGGGTCCTCTTATTTGGACTCTCTTTTGGGAAACAGATGTTTAAAATGTGCTAATGAAAGAAAGATTGTAAGATGCTGGATGCCTCTGAGCTGCTTTGCTGCTTTCTCATCTTGGTCATCCTTCTTTTCACAAGTTTTCCCATGCAATGTTGCACATCTTTACCTGTTGCAAATAGCTAATCCAAGCAATAGGTTAAAACATGGAGATCCTTACTTGACTAGTTTGGCCGCTGGTTCAGAAGTTTAGATATAGAGGATTTGGTGCTTTGTCCTTCGGTGCTAACATTTTTAGAAGAAAAATTATTTACATTACAGTTTTTGTCATGTTTCTTTTCAATGTGAACATGATTAATACAGTGTATCTTAAAGAAAATATCCAGGAAAACTTTTATTAACCCTTGCAGTTGGGCTACCCTGCACTGCAAGGGTTAGGTGCTCGTTTGTGTCTAGGGACAAAAATAACAAAGATATACTCACCCGAAGCTCCATGCTGGCCAGATGTCACACCACTCCCTCCAGCCTCTCTCCTTCTCCACAGCACGTTGTAATCTTCCTCATTGTCCTCACATCTATATAGAGTGTATAGACGTTGATGCTTTACAGGATCTTAGAGGGCTGCAGAAGAGAGAGAGAAACACACAAGAAGGACCTGTCTAAGAAGAAGCCGGCTCGGAGCTTCGGATGGATATAACTATATTTTGAGCTTGTACCATAACAGTAATAGAGGAGAAATCTTCCAATGGGGACACTTGTTCTGGTGACAGTTGTTTAGGAGAGCATTTACGTTACTTTGGAGAGATGTTCTCTCTCTGTTGTGTCTACAGGACAGGAAGTGAATAGGGCACAGATGGCAAATTACAAATTGACATGGGTTTTAACTCTAACAATCTAAATTGAAAACGTTGAGATTTGGGTTTAGTGGCTTGGATTAAAGGAACCCTGTTTTGAGCATAGAGATTATGATTGCGGACTTTTCCTTTAAAAAAAACTCTAACTCCATGGCTGTCCTGCTTTACCTCTTGGTTTGGTGCTTTGAGGCACTGTCCCAGAACATGTATGCAGATTGGGTCTTTTGACTTAATTCTGACTTTCCTGATCTGCATGCTTGTTCTGGATCATAGAAATATTGAAGCCAGTCGGTCAGTATAACAGCCAAGAAAAAGATT